CCTCCTGCCCCTCCCTTTTTTCCTTCGTTCCTTCCTTTCTCCCTTTACCTGTCCTTCCTTCCTTTCCTCTTTTCTTCTTTTCTTCCTTCTGTCCCTTCCTCCTTTCCCTCCCTCCTTCCTTTCTTCCCCTGTCTATTCCTTCTTTCCTTCCCTTCCTTTCTCCCTTCGCCTGTCTATTCCTTTCTTCCTTCCTTTCCTCCTTTCTCCTTTCACCCGTCTGTTCCTTCCTTCCTTCCTTTCTTCCTTCTGTCCCATCCTCTTTCCTTTCTCCCCCCGTCTATTCCTTCACTCCTTCCTTCCTTCCCTCTTTTCCTTCCCTCCTTTCTCTCCCTTCACCCGTCTATTCTTTCCTTTCCTCCTTTCTTCCTTCTGTCCCTTCCTCCTTCTTTTCTCCCCCCGTCTATTCCTTCATTCATTCCTTCCTTTCTTCCTTCTCCTGTCCCTCCCTCTTTTCCTTCCCTCCTTTCTCTCCCTTCACCCGTCTCTTCTTTCCTTTCCTCCTTTCTTCCTTCTGTCCCTTCCTCCTTCCTTTCTCCCCGTCTATTCCTCCTTCCCTCCTTTCTTCCTTCCCCTGTCCCTCCCTCCCTTCTTTTCTCCCTCCCTCCCTCCCTTCCTTCCTTCCTTCCTTCCTTCCTTCCTTCCTTCCTTCCTTCCTTCCTTATTCTCCTGTCTGTTCCATCCTCCCTCCCGCCCTCCTTCATTCATCCCATCCATCCATCCCGACAGGGGCATGAAAGTCATTGAGAACCGAGCCCTGAAGGACGAGGAGAAGATGGAGCTGCAGGAGATCCAGCTGAAGGAGGCCAAGCACATCGCCGAGGAGGCCGACCGGAAGTATGAGGAGGTGGGTGGCAGCCCCCCCAGCCCTCCCCCAGATCACCTGGGATGTTTGAGAAGGGGGGGGGGGTTGGGCGTACATTGAAATATTCAGGTCGAGAGAATTTTGGCCCCCGTTTCTCAGTGGATACGGAGATCTTCTTCTTCCGTGCCGCCTTCCTTTCAGCCTCACGAGGACTAGAGTCTTTAGGTTTTAAGGCCCTCTTTGGCGTTGGGCGGTAGAGGCTGGCCTGAAGTCCCCCAGCCGGCTTTCGTGCTTAAGGCGGGACTAGAACTCGCTGTCTTCCTGGTTTCTAGCCCACCTCCTCAACCCCCCCCCCCCCAACCCACCCCCCCCCCCCCCTCTTTCCCCCCCTTACCCCCCCCCCCCTCTCTGCCCCGCCTTCCTCTTCCTCCTCCCAGGTTGCTCGTAAACTGGTCATCATCGAAGGAGACCTGGAACGGACCGAGGAAAGAGCTGAGCTGGCCGAATCGTGAGTGTCCGTCCTCTGGGCCGCCGCTCCTTTCCCCTGCCCCGCATATGTCGCTAACACCAGTTGCTTGACTCTGCCCCCCATCCACCCCCCCCCCCAAAATCCCTGGTTAGACGAGGCTGGAAGCCGTGAGCCGGTGGTGGAAGGGGAGCGAATTGGACCCTTTCGTGGCCCCTCTCGGCCTTTTCTCGGAAGGCCGAGAGGGGGACTGACCCGCCGGACGCAGCCTCTTCATAAGCCTACCACCCCCGGTGCCTTGGTCATCCCGACAGGGCGGGCCTCTCGTCCCACACCCCACACCCCACGCACTCTTCAAGCAGGGGGGTCTCCTACCTTGGCAACGTTTAAGACTTGTGGACTTCAACTCCCAGAGTTCCTCAGCCAGGAAAGTGGGTGGAGAGGAAGGGGCAAGAGGAAGAGATGGGAGGGAGGGAGGGAGGGAAAGAAGAAAGAGATGGATGGATGGATAGAAGGAAGGCAGGAAAGGAGGAAGAAGAGATGGAAGGAAGGAAGGAAAGAAGGGACGAGGAAGGGAAGGAAAGAAGGAAGGGGCAGGAGGAAGAGATGGAAGGAATGGACAGAAGAAAGAGATGGATGGATGGATGGATGGATAGAAGGAAGGCAGGAGGAAGAGATGGATGGAAGGAAGGAAGGAAGGAAGGAAGGAAGGAAGGAAGGAAGGAAGGAAGGAAGGAAGGAAGGAAGGAAGGAAAGGGACAAGAGGAAGGGAAGGAAAGAAGGCAGGGGCAGGAGGAAGAGATGGATGGATGGATGGAAGAGATGGAAGGAAGAGATGGAAAAAAGGGACAGAAGAAAGAGATGGATGGATGGATAGAAGGAAGGCAGGAAGGGAGGATGAAGAGATGGAAGGAAAGAAGGAAGGAAAGAAAGAAGGGGCAAGAGGAAGAGATGGATGGATGGATGGATGGATAGAAGGAAGGCAGGAAGGGAGGATGAAGAGATGGAAGGAAGGAAGGAAGGAAGGAAAGGGACAAGAGGAAGGGAAGGAAGGAAGGAAGGAAGGGGCAGGAGAAAGAGATGGATAAGAAGGAAGGAGGTTTGGAGACCCTCTTCCTGCCCAGGACCTCCGGTTGCATGTCTGAATCGGCGGGGACGATGGGTGCACCAACACGGGCTGCGTTGAATCACCTTCCACACAAGCAACCCTGGAGTTGCGGCTTTCGTATTCACCCCGTTGAGCTTCCTGGCCTCGTGTAATGCGTCCCTTCCCCACCCCTTACCCCCCCCCCCCCCCGCGGCCTCCCCCCCCCCCCCCCCCCCCCCACCCCCCCCCCAGTGAAAACCCTCTCCCTCCCGCCATGCATGTGTTGTGACCAATTTTTATTTTTCCTTTTCCCCCCCCTCCCCCGTTTCTTCCTCGTCTGTCGGTCCCTTTTGTGGCCGCTTTGCCTCTTTTTTCCGTTGTGTTGCCGTTGCCGCCGTTCCTTTCCGGCCCCTTCTTGCCCCCCTCGAACCCGTGTGGCCGTCCCTAAACCAGCCGTTTGCGAGAAATGAATGAGCAGAACCGCCTGATGGACCAAAACTTCAAATTCCTTTCTCAGGCTGAAGAAAAGGTACTAATCTTGCTCGCTCGCTCGCCTTCCTCGTGCGCCGAAGCTCCTAAATTCTTCTCCTTTTTCTCCTCTGTGCATGACTCTCCTTCTCTCCTGAGTGCCTTTCGATGCTTGACGACCTTGCCGTCTCCAATCCCCCCCCTTTTCCCCCCCCCTCCTTCCCTTTTCTTAAAAAAAAAGAAAGAAACAAAACATTTTTGCTTTCTTGCAAACAGACAGCCGCTGTGGCTGCTGGTTTTAACCAGGAAAGGTCCCACCCAGATTCTGACATGACTTGGGGCAGCTTGGTGGCCACCCTTGCAGCTTGTAAAGCTGTGCACCTTGGTCTTTCTGGTACCAGTGGCCCCCATTTAGAATAGAAATAGAAATAGAATAGGGAATGGAATGGAGTGGAATGAGGAAGAATGGAATGGAAGAGAAGAGAATAGGGAAGAGAAGAGTACGGGGAATGGAATGGAATAGGGGAGGGAGTAGAGTGGAATAAGGAGGAATGGAATGGAAGAGAAGAGAGAAGAGAAGAGAATAGGGAATAAAATAGAATAGGGAATAGAATAGAATAAAATGAGGAATGGAATGGAAGAGAATAGAAAATAGAATAGAACAGAAAATAGAATAGAAGTAGGAAGAATGGAATGGAATAGAAGAGAAGAGAATATAGAATAGAATAGAATAGGGAATAGACTCGAATAAAAATAGCAGAAGGTTTTCACATTTGATAGGCTGGGCGAAATTACCACCAGGTGCCCAAGTCCCAGAGAGGATGCCTTCAAAATCCCTAGGCCACATCCCCAGCTCAAAAGATTCACTTCTCTTTCTGTCTCCTGTCCATCCTTCCCTCCCTGTCCCTTTCTTTCTTTTTTTCTCCTTCCACCTCTCTCCTCTCTGTCTTTTTCGCCTTCCCCAACACACGCAGTAAATGTTCAGAATTGGAAGAAGAGCTGAAGAACGTTACCAACAACCTCAAATCGCTTGAGGCCCAGGCGGAGAAGGTAGGGCGGTCCTCCCCCACTCAAAATTAAAAAAAAAACCTCTTGATGATGATGATGATTAGAAATAAAATCACAAAATCCCTCTGTGGCCTTTTGAGGGGTTGGTTTTTTTGGGTCTACCGAGAAAACAACCATGAGGTCGGTTGGTTGATTGTGTCACCTCTATTTTGGCTGTCATAATACTAACTCTCCATAGCTATTTTATAGTTTATTTATTTATTATCCGTCATCTATTCATCTATAGCTATCATCTATCTAACCATCTATCCCTCCCTCCCTCCTCTCACTCTTAACTATCTTTTTCTTCCTTCCTTTCTCTCTCCCTCCCTCTTATCTGTATCTATTCATCCATCTCTATCCCTCACTCCTCTCAACTATCTTCTTTCCTCTCTCCCTCGTATCTATATCCATCCATATCTATCATCTATCTATCTATCTATCTATCTATCATCTATCTATCTATCTATCTATCTAATCTCTATCTATCTATTTATCTATCATTCATCTATCTATCTATCTATCTATCTATCTATCTATCTATCTATCTATCTATCTATCTATCTATATCTCTATCTATCTATCAATCAATCAATCTATCTATCTATCTATTCATCCATCTCACTCTTAACTATCTTTTTCTTCCTTCCTCTCTCCTTCCCTCCCTTCCTCGTATCTATTTCCATCCACCCACCTATCTCTATCCCTCCCTCCTCTCTTAACTATCTTTTCCTTCCTTCCTTCCTTCCTTTCTCCCTTCCTTGCATCCGTATCCCTTCATATCTATCTATCTTTATCGTCTGTCTATCTGTCTATTTCTTACCACGGGGTAACTCTGGACGGCTTATATAGTATTAAGAAGATAAAACTATATAAATAAAATTCGTAAGCATCTTGTCTTTTTTTTTTTGTTCCTTTTGAAGTACTTTAAGGACAATGTTTATAGGAGTCACAGGGAGTCCTGTAGTTACGAGCCCAATTGATGTGGCTAAAGTTGCACCCGATTTTCACAGCCTTTTTTCTTTTGCTGCGGTTGTTAAATGAAACACTTGGTCATTAAAGGGATCTGGCTGGCTTCCCTCATTGGGGGCTGAGAGAGCAGCTGAAATTTCCATGTTTCTATCTGAAAGGCATAGACTTAAAACCCCCCACATTAGCTAGGTAAGTCTCTCTGCGGTACGACGACCAGGGACCACATTTTGAGAGATAATATTGCAGCCTGTTGCAGTCTTGAACGAGTCTTTTTTTTCTCCTCCAGTATTCTCAAAAAGAGGACAAATATGAAGAGGAGATCAAGATTTTGACTGACAAACTCAAAGAGGTAAGTGAGGAACGAGGCTGGCTGAGAACCCACCTAGAAATAAGGAGAAACTTTCTGACAGTGCGGACCATTAACCAATGGAACGGCTTGCCACTAGAAGTTGTGGCTGCTCCATCAGTGGAGACGTTTAAGAAAAGACTGAACAGCCATTTATGTCCAGATTAAAATCTCCTCCTCGAACAGGGGGTTGGACTAGAAGACCCCCCAGGGTCCCTTCCAACTCTGTGTCGGAGACAGAATCTTAGTATTGAATGTGAAAAGCACAGAGGTGAGTTTGGAGGTGAAGCCCAGACACAACCCGCCTGCTATAATCAGCTAAATTTGGAACTAAAAAGCCCATGTTAAGTTTAGCGTGTTGGTTATACATAATTCCATTTTTTTTCTTCAGCCTCCCATTTCCCAGCTGGGTATTTTGGGGAGGTTGAACTGTTTGGATCCCTTAAAACCTCTTTTCAGGGACATTGTCTGATTCCTATTCTCCTGCCTTCCACAGGCAGAAACCCGGGCCGAGTTTGCCGAGAGATCAGTAGCCAAACTGGAGAAAACCATCGATGACTTGGAAGGTAAGGTTTCACACAAGAAGCAATTCTGACATGCTATCTGTGGAGACTCTCCTTCATCCAGGTCATGGTTTCCCCCAAGGTGCTTTTTCAAGAGGCAACTGGACTTCGTTTTTCCTTGAAGAGGTTTCGCTTCTCGTCCCAAGAAGCTTCCTTCTGTTCTGGATGAAGGGTGGAGGAGGGAAGGATTTGTGCTTCTTTGCAGTCATCTGGTCGTTAGGACTCCCGCTGAGAGCCATTGAGGTTATTTGGAGACCACCAATCAAACCTCCCAAGTGGCCTCAATTGCTCTCAGCAAGAGTGCTAAGGACCAAATCACTGCAAGGAATAGCCATCCTTCCACCGTTCAGTCAGAACCGAAGAAGCTTCTTGGATGAGAAGCGAAACCTCTTCAAAGAAAAACAAAACAATCCTTTTTTGGGGGGGGGGAAAAACCACCTTTGGGACAAGGGGATTTCGTGAAAACCAAATGTTACCACCAGAATTTAGAACCAAGGTGAGGAGCGGATGGTTCCCCAGATATTTTCAAGCCTCAACTCTTAATATCTATCGCCGGGGTGCCTTTAAGCTGCCGGAAACGGTTAATATCGCAACATCTGGAGAACAGCAGCCTTCCCATGTCTGATCCAGACAATGCACGACACCACAGGCCAAAGGATATGTGAGAGCTCTCTGGTTGGATGCAGATGTTATAATATGGAGGACACTCAAACCTTCAGCCAGCTGTTTACAGCTAAGCAAGATTCCCATTGTCTTCTTTCACCAGATTTATTGCAAAAGGACATAGGCTTAGCTTCCTGCAGCCTCTGGATATTTTTTAATTTAATTACACATTTGATCTCTTTCTTTCTCTCAGGAATTTCGTGTCGACCCCGTTGCATTAGGGAGATAACTACAATGTGTTTCCCCGAAAATATAATTTTGTAATATAAGCTCTACCCCCTAAAATAAGACCCAGTTAAGATCAGACAGGCACATTTAGTACTTTTCAATTTTATTGTACACATGTTGTGCATGGACAACAAACGTTGGATTGATTTGTATTCCCCCCCTCCCCCCAAAAAATATGACCTAACCGGAAAATAAGCGCTAATGCATCTTTTGGAGCAAAAATGAATATAAGACCTGGGTCTTATTTTCGGGGGAAATCCGGTCATTTTTTTTTCTCATGAAGGAAGAATATGCAAATCTACCACCCACCCCCACTGCTCCCGGTCATATTTTGCAAATTGCAAGACTCCGGGTGAAACGGTTGGGTTCGGGGCTCCTCATTCCACACGTCCGTTTTTATATGTTAGAAGTTGTAAACAGCTCGTCTCTTGAGCCCGAAAATGGTTTTCTCCAGCCATTCTGGGCCCACAACAGAGATCAGCATTGTTTTCCCCCTTCGAAATTCAAAACGAAGTGGGGAAGGGAGAAACCTTGGGCGGGGGAAAAGCAAAAGGGAAAAAAAAAACAACCTATCTGCTGTGTGTTTTCCAGCACAAAATAACTGAGCGAGGGCAACAGCTTTGGTTTTAAATTCTTTTTTGTTTGTTTGTTTTCTTTCTGGACATAAGTGAGACCTGGATTCCTCTTTAATTTTCATGGAGATAAAGTAGATTTTAAAAAAAAAACAACAACCCAAACTTTTCATCACAGCCTTAGCTTTTTGAACAAATCCACAAAGTTTTTTTCTTCTCTTCTCCAAATCCTCGAAAACGGCGGTAGGTTTTCCTTGCCGTTTCTTGAACCGTTGGATCACGGTTACCTTTCTAGCGTCGTCTCGAGAAAAACCAACCTGGTTTGATTCCGACCCTCCTGGTGCTTCCCTTTCCCAGCTGTTCTCTCTCCTGATGATCTTCCTCCAATTTGTTTTTAGATGAACTCTATGCTCAGAAATTGAAATACAAAGCCATAAGCGAGGAGCTGGACCATGCTCTCAATGATATGACTTCCATGTAAATATCGACTTTTGCCCTGCGCTGGAGGGCTTTGTGCGTTGGCCTTGTGTTGGGCATGCTGTGTGTGTGTGTGTGTTGGGGTGTGGGGAAGCGGAGAAGGGGCCCCGGGGTTTTGGGGGTCAAGCGATGCTCGGAGTGACCTCCGCTTTCTAACTTGCTGCCCCGTGCATGATTCCCGGGCCCGTCGAAAGGGTCACCCCTTCTATTTGGGGGCGCATGGCTGTCCTTGAACCCCCCAAAATCTCAGCTTTTGGGGGGAGAGAGATTAACCTCTTAACGATAAAAGCCCACGCACCTGTGGGTCTCTCGCCAACACTGTTTGAAGCTTGGGTTGCTGCCCACCGGCCACCACGGAGGGCGTGCCGAGAGAATTGGGACTCCCACCCACCGTCCGATCCAATTAGGACGTCGTTCTACGACCCGTCTTACGACGTGCATGTCAAAGGTGATCTGCAACGTTTGTGTGTGCGGGGCAACACTTTTGGCAACCCCCAGCAGCTACGGGGGTGAACGGCGGTCGTAAGTCGAGGGTAGTCCCCTTGATCCGGTGGGGCGCGGTCGCCGTGTTGAAGTTGCGATGCTGTGTTCGGTTGTGGCTCGCTCGAGTCTAACCCACCCTTGGCGTCAGGCTGGAAACGGTGCGAGAATCTTTGTGGTTCCCACTGAATGTTGTCGGCATGGTTGTGTTGAGTTCGGCTCCTTGGACCCTTCGCTTCTGTTTTAACTGCACCCGTCCGTTGTCGCAGCACAAGGGTTGTGTCCCTTTTCTCTCTGCTCGCCTCGTCCCTTGCTTGCTGCCCCAATACACACACACACACACCTTTCCCCCAAAGCTAAACCTTCGTTCTCTCTCTCTTTCTCTCTCTTGCAAACAGATAAAACTGGTGATTCCAAAGCTCCACTTAATCGCTCGGCCTGCAGCTTTCGAAGCCTGCCTTTTATAAAAAAAATGTTCACCCGGATCCCTTTCCTTTCCCTTCCCTTTTTCTTTCCTTTCCTTTCCTTCCCTTTTTCTTTCCTTTCCTTTCCTTTCCTTTCCTTTCCTTTCCTTTCCTTTCCTTTCCTTTTCTTTCTTTCCCATCCACCTATTTGTCTACTCATCTATCTTCCTTCCCTTCTGTCTACCTATTTATCTGTCTATCCATCTATCTATATTCCTCCCTCCCTCTCATCTTCCTCCCTCCCTCCCTCCCTCCCTTCCTTCCTTCCTTCCTTCCTTCCTA